GTGCCTTTCTGTCTTTGCTTCATTCTTGTGCGTACCTTTCTAAATTTTCTATAATTCAGTACTTTAATTGGAGGGTGGGGGAGAGACAGCAGAAAAGTCACTTGTTTGATTAGGATCTAGCTGTTAGAGAGTAGGCAACTTGGCAACACCAAGCAAATAAAAGTGTTAATGGACTCTAGAAAACCAGTTGGTTTAACTGCCCTTGCCTTGCACCTCTAACATTCGTGCCATCACTGTATCAGACACACATGTAAGTCAGAACAGTTATGGACCTCAAGTCAGTATTTTCCAAACCTGGTGTGTGTGCCTCAGTTGCCAGAGGGAACTTTTCAGAATGCCTAATTGAGGACTGATCCCCAGCCCTGGTGAACCAGTATCCTCTTTACGGTGAGAGCTGATATTACAGAGTGGCACGATGGTCGAGTATTGGGGCCTGGGCTGACACTTCTGACAATTCCAGCTCTGCCACTCAATTGCTGTGTGATCTTGGACATGATACAACACCTGGTTCACCTTCATTCCCTGTGTTTTATAGTTGTCTTGATGGCTTTGCAAACGCTTTGCTTTCAACTCCTTGATACTGCAACTCCCTAGTCTCGCCTCTACTTGAGCACAGTCATCTTGAGTTTGCGATCACCACACAAAGTTGCTTGGCCAGACTTTGCAATGGCCCGCTGACCACCAACTTCTACCCCTTCCCTGCTCCTCTAGTTTTTCCCATACCAGTTCTCTGTTCTCACTGCCCTCCCCCTGACTATTCTCTATTGGGCCCTTTCTGACCTCATTGGCCGTGCCCAGCCCAGACCCTTGGATATTATTTTCCTGACCTTTTTACCTACATGGGGTTTCTTTGTTGTGTCTGCCTTTATGGCCAGTTTGTTTCTCTGCTTCAGAGATGAAGAAGATGATAACTCCAGGCTAAGAGGAAAATTCTAGCTTTTGATTTGTTACGTGAGAAAAAATTATACTTGAGGGAAAGAATTGATTCAGCATATGGAATAGTTAGTATTGCTTGTTCTTCCTAGGAAATCGTTCCAGAGCACACAAATGAGGTTTGGTTTGAAAGCAGAAGGAAGGAAATGTGTTCTGAATACACCTTATTCTAAAAAGGTTTTAGAAGATATATGTAAATGGATTAATAGATGTTATCCAAAATATTCATTTCCAAGGAACACAGTGGCTAGGGACCTTGTACAACTCTTTTCTTCCTCTTTGCTTGCTTCAGTTTCTCCTGTAAAAGGAGTGGTCTCTGCATTAGAAACTGTTCTCCAGTTAGAAGTTTCTAGTTTGCAAGATATTTATTTATCTATCTATCTATCTATCTATCTATCTATTTTTTTTTTTTTTAAGTAAACTTTACACCCAGCCTGGGGCTAGAACTCACAACCCTGAGATTGAGTTGCTTGCACTACCACCTGAGCCAGCCAGGCATCCCCTTAGTTTGTAGGATTTCAAAAAGTAATTTCAGTCTTCAGAAATCCAGAAATTCAGTAATTTCAGTCTTCGGGTGATGATGGAAATCAGTAACAGAAGAAACTGCGAGTGGAGATTTTAAAGACATTGCAGCTTGGTCGGCTTCTTGTAGCAAAAGTTGTGCTCAAGTTTTGTTTTGTTTTGTTTTTTTCTTAGCTCTTTTCTAGAAACAAGTGTCCCCCGTTCTTGATCCTGGAGAACAGTAAGTACAAAAACAGGGCTCTAAACTTTGCCAGCTTAAAGCCGTCAACATCCCAGTGAAACCACTTGTTGGGTTTCTTCAGATCCACTGTTGAGTATCATTTGCAACAACCCTTGAGTGTTCGACAGGCCCTAAGTGAGGATGAAAATCCTCATTCATGTGTAGTTCATCTTTCATGATGAATAAGGACTATTTTTGTAATGAGAAAACTTATTTGAAAAATTAGCAGATTAACGTTTTTCTCCAAAATGGAAATAGCTTTTTCAGTTTAAGGTAATATGTTCCTCCAAAGGTCACAATAAGATAGTATAAAGAAAACAAAACTATTTGTAATTCTGCAATCCAGGAAAAACCTAATATTGTATTCTTTCAACTTCATTTTTACATTTAAATCTTTACTCCTTTGGGAATCTGTTTTGGAGCATGGAGTGTAAGGATCTTAATTCTCAGAATTTTTCTGGCTGCCTTCACTTAGTGAATTTTTTTTTTCATCCTTTTGTTACTGAATTTTATAATGGCATATTTGTCCAAATTATTCATTTCTGGGTTATTTTCCTGTTTAGTCCTATTCCTGCCCCATACTTTTAATACTGTATTTTTATAACATACTTTCCAAGACTGTTAAGGCAAGTCCTCTGTCCTCTTGTCATTACTCTTTTGGGGAAGAATGGGAGGGACTCTTGTGAATTTATTTTGATGAATAAAATTAGAATTATTTCAAGTTCCAAAAAAAATCCTTGGGATTGTTTCAGTAGAGGAGAATTTACATCTCTGCATTAAGTCTTCCTATTGGAGATATCTCTTCATTTATTCAGATTTCCTTTGTTTCAGTAAGATTGTCATTTTCTTACTTAAGTCCTATACTGCTGCTAACCACTGCAACAATGGTTGCAGTATAAATTTGGAAAATCCTTCAAAAAAGTGAATTAGTGAATGTCATGAAAATGTTTATACTTTTGATTCAGTAACCCCATTCCTAAACAATATCTGTAAGTTAACAGAAGAACCCTTTTGCCTGTGTGAGAATTTGACCTTTGGTTAACTTTGTTTCTGGGGAACCTCATAAAGGCAGATTGTCACCTTCTGTTGCTGGGCACTGTAGCTCATGGTAAAATGTCTCCTGCTTGGTCATTGCATCTGGACAGGGAGAGGCTGTGAAGTACCCCCATGGAGCCCCATGCTTGGGCTTCACAGAGTACAGTGGCTCTTGTGCTGGATGTGTTCCTCACAAGAAGCCAACAGAGCTATTAAAAGAGATGACTGGATCCCCTCAACAATAAGGGTTTTAAGTCAGGGATTGAACCCGCACTGTCTCCCTATACCAGAGCCATCTGCTGTGTGGATTGTTGAAAGAACAGCCAGCGAGCTGTGTTCTTGTGCCCCCAGTCCTCCTCAGTAGGCAGGTGCCAGGTATGGCCTGTGATAGTCCTGTGAGTCTGAATCTAAGAAGATCATGCCCACCCCACTTAACCCCCACCACCCCATGGCTGTTGCTGGGTCCCAAAGAAATGATCCCACAAACTGAAGTTCAAAAATGTTCTTTACAGCATTACTTTCTCCAGATTTTTGATATATTAAGTAAAAGGCAGGAATGGCTATTTAAACACTTAATTCACTCAAAGGAATATTAGATGTTAAGACTGTAACAGAAGCAAGCACTAAAGGATAAAGTCACAGTCACTGTAGCCAGCCTCAGCCTTCTAGAAGCTACGTGGTTAAAAATGAAACTAAGGGGGGGCGCCTGGGTGGCTCGGTTGGGCGACTGCCTTCGGCTCAGGTCATGATCCCGGAGTCCCGGGATTGAGTCCCACGTTGGGCTCCTTGCTCAGCGGGGAGTCTGCTTCTCCCTCAGACCCTCTTCCCTCTTGTGCTCTCTGTCTCTCATTCTCTCTCCCTCAAATAAATAAATAAAATCTTTAAAAAAATTTTTAAAAAAATGAAACTAAGGGACACCTGGGTGGCTCGGTTGGTTAAGCGTCTGCCTTTGGCTCAGGTCATGGTCCAGGGTCCTGGAATCGAGCCCTGCATTGGGTTCCCTGCTCAGCGGGAAGCCTGCTTCTCCCTCTGCCTGCCACTCCCCCTGCTTGTGCACTCCCCCCCCCCGACACATAAATGAATAAAAATCTTTAAAAAAAATAAAAATGAAACTAAAAAATAGCTTTTCTGAGACCTAGTTTTGACTGCCTTGTTCTCCCAAACTGTAGAAGAATAAGAACAGGCTTTACGGAACCCGCTTCCATACCTGCCTTTTTTATATGTAAACACTTATTTCCCCCAGCTCCACTGAAGGCAGGAGGTAGATGTTGACCCTTGCCTTGTTACTTGTAGTCTCCTGCCCTTGCTGTTTCACAGTCTCCTGAGGATAATGGACCAGAGCTAAGGGCTCTCAGGTGTAGGTGTCATTTTCGAGGGTTCTCACATTCAGTCTTGAATTCCTGGTTCTGGAGAACACAGGCCTCATGCTGGGGATTCCAGCTGCCTGAGGAGTGATCGTCTAGCAGTTTTAGATAAGTTGCTAACTTTGGGGTCCAGAGTTTAAGACTCCTGCTTTTCTGAAAGTCACTGAGTCAGGTTCAGGAGACTAAGGGATAATAAAAACGGGAACCCTGTCTTGAAAAGTAAATAGGAGCAAGTTCTGGAATAGAGATGAGCAAAGATTAGGCATCTTACATATTGTCTGGTCAGGGGTAGGGAAGACTGCCTGAAAGGCTTTCTAGAAAAGGGTGATTCCAAGAGCTGTAGGTCAAGTATTCTCACACTACCCCAGTATTTGATACTAATTCTCTACTTGGCACTAGAGATGTAGTGGGGAATAAAACTGTCTTGGTGGAGGTTAAGAGAAGAAAAGGGAAAAGACTGACAAATGTAATAGATTCAGATGCCAAGTAGTGGTTAAGTGCTCTGAAGAAAACTAAGGCAGTGTAAAGGGATAGAGCAGATGGAGAGAGGGTGTGCTACTTTAGATAAAATGATCACCTCTCTGAGGAAGTGCAATGTGAGCAGAGACTTGAATGAAGCAGGACTGAGCTGTTGAGGAAGCTGGAGCATTAATCGACACTGATCCAACATCCAAGAGGGAGAATCCGTTCTTTTAGACTACTCTGAGGGGCAGGATGAGCCTGACTCACTATTTTGCCCAGCTTGGGTCCAGAGTTCTAATGACTGATACTGCTCTCTGTCCAGTCCCCCTGGATGGCAGGGAAATAGCCAACAGGAAGGCCCAAGACTCAGTGCTCCTGGGGCTGTTTCGATGTTTACACTGGGGGATGTGCTTAGCCTTGGTATTTCTGTCACACTCACAGTGCTTTCTTCTTTTTCCTTTTAGTTTGAAGGATGACCTCTAGGAAGAAAGTGTTGCTGAAGGTTATCATTCTGGGAGATTCTGGGTAAGTGGTTCTCACCATTTGAACTAACATGTTGGCTTGGATTAAACGTGACCTCCTTGAAGCCTGTGCCCTCCATGCTGACATTTGGCAGTTCCTTCTCTAATAGTAGTGGCAGTAGGGCCCTAGGTCTCCTGCTCTTTCGGGCACAGCAGAAATTTGAATGATCTGTTGTTCTGTAACCCTTCGTTCCCTGATCTTTGGCATGATTTGGGGGAAGGGGCAGCTATTTAAACTCAATAATAGTTTCATGGAATCCCTTTTTTCCCATCTGGTTAGACAAGGGAGCTCTATTTATGTAGATTTGTTGCCACTGACCTCATGCCTACCAATTGTGGGTTTGGGGTGTGCTGTGTGGTATCCTCCCACCACTGTGCCAGATTCAGGTCTATATTCAAAAGAACCTGGGACTGGAGACCTGGATTCTGATCCTAGATCTGCCACTAAGTAAGTGACCAGCTCTTTAGTAGCTGTTATGATTCTGTGGGAGGCTTTTCAGACTCAGCATCTGAAGTGACCTGTGAAACCTTAGACCAGCTGGAAGCTATGTATATTTTTTTTTAAAGATTTTTATTTATTTGAAAGAGATAGCGAGAACAGGAACGACAAGCAAGGGGAGTGGGAAAGGGAGAAGCAGGCTTCCTGCGGAGCAGGGAGCCTGATGCGGGGCTCCATCCCAGGACACTGGGATCATGATCTGAGCCAAAGGCAGACGCCTAACGACTGAGCCACCCGGGCGCCCCCTGAGGAGCCTTTTAAAAGTTAGCATTTTTCCATACCAGCGGGTTGGGCCTAGTTAGCAGTACTTAAATACACACATCTCTCTGTCTCTCTGTCTCTGTCCCTCCCTTTCCCTCCCTTATTCCTAGTGACTCTAGTGTAGTGTCAGGATTGAAAGGTATTGTTTTAGGCCCAAACTTGCCTGGAAAGAATCACCAAGTCTTTATTTGATTACAGTATCTCCTGGCCTCTCCTCTGAAAAACCCAGGTGGCCTGGGTTGGAGAACACTGCCTTAAGCCATAACTGTACTAACAGGTCCTCTGCATATGAAAATGAGTGTGTTTCTCAGTGGGAAAGGAAGGCATTCCCGTTGACTTTGAAGAAGCCTTTTGTATTATTATCAGCCTGCCCCAGCTAATCTCATCACCAAAAAATTTCCACACATTGTCTCTTGCTGAGTTTTCTTATTGGAAAACATCTCTGGAGGAGCTTACTCTGAGGTAGATTCTGATTTGGTGGAATATTGATGCTTTCTCCACTTCAGATTTTAAACTTTGAAGCAGCAGGTGGCTGACTGGTGTGTATGTCTGCTCGCAGCCATTGACTTCCTCCTGTGCCATTACTTTCTTAGACTGAATAGCAACCCCTAAATGGAGAGACACCCAAGACAGCAGAGATATTTTTGGAATGGTGGAGTGATCTTATTGCTGTAGCTCCTTTTAGAAGGAGAGTATTTGCTTACATCTTTCTGGAAGGAAAAAGATAATACTAGGTTCTACCATCTGACTTGCTTGTACAAACTTAAAAGCAGCTTTTCAACATCTGTCCCATATCTGTACCCCGTATTTTTATCCCAGGAGAAAATACAACCTCAAATGAGTAACATTGGGCAGTTGGCTGTCACGGCTCTCTGTTGTGATTACAGTTCCTTGTTCTCCTTTAAGATAGGCAGGTATCTTCAGAGCTGCAAGGATCAGAATCTGTTTTCCATCCCTTCCTAGTTGACCTATACTTGTGGTTTTTCTCCAATTTCAGAGTTGGTAAGACATCACTCATGAACCAGTATGTGAACAAGAAATTCAGTAATCAGTACAAAGCTACAATAGGAGCAGACTTTCTGACAAAGGAGGTGATGGTGGATGACAGACTAGTTACAATGCAGGTAAGCACGTGTCTCCGCTTTGCCAGTCAAGCGGGCTGAACCCTTTTGTTCATGCCTAGGCATTTTCCCTCCCTGTTCTTCATTTCCCACTACAATATTCAGGGATAATTGGCCACAGGTAGGAGGATTGCCAGATAAAATACAGGACATCAAGTATGACCCAGATATTGCATGAGACATACTAGAAATTTTTCATTGTTTTTCCAAAGCTCAATTTTTTTTTTTAAAGATTTTATTTATTTATTTGAGAGAAAGAATGAGAGAGAGAGAGCACATGAGAGGGGAGAGGGTCAGAGGGAGAAGCAGACTCCCTGCCGAGCAGGGAGCCCGATGCGGGACTCGATCCCGGGACTCCAGGATCATGACCTGAGCCAAAGGCAGTGGCTTAACCAACTGAGCCACCCAGGCGCCCCCAAAGCTCAAATTTAATTGGAGTTCCTTTTTTTTGTTGTTGGTTTGGTTTGGGGTGTTTTTTTTGTTACTGTTTTTGTTGAATTTGACAACATACAGGCCTCTCTGTTTTGCTGTGTGTCCAAAATATCTAACTCATTCCTTTCTTAATATCCCTGCATAATATTTTAGGCCAAAACGTCTTTGGGTTTCTCCTTGATTCTTACAGTAGCTTTTCATGTAGTTTCCCTATTTTTCTGGCTTCTTTTAATCTGTCTTATCTATAGCCACCAAAGTTGTGTTTCTGTTAAGCTAGCCTAGCTTTTTTGTGTATCACCTTAATCTTTTAAGATTTTCCCTTGCAACAATTAGGCTAAAATACACATTCCTTCATAGGACCTTTTGAAAGCCTTTGCTTTCTGGCTACAAACTATTCTTCACTTTTTTGTCTTTTGCCAGTCCTTCTGAACCATGTGCTGCTCTTCCAGACCTGTCCTTGCACCTCTCTGTTTCCATCCCAGCCCCTTTGTCCTATCTTTGTCTTCATCCCCAAGCCTCCAACTTTTAGCCCAGATGTTGTCTTCTGAAACTCCTACCCCCACAGTAGTTGTTCCTTCCTGTATTAAATGAGGTCCAGGTCCCTGGCAGACTAGGCCTCTAGAGACAAATAAAATTCTTATCCCACTGTAGTCCTAGCAAACACCAGGCTCACCGAAATGTTTGAATGATCCAGGTATTACAGGTAGAAGTTTTTACACGCATGGACCTCAAGCTGTGACATGCTCCCATAGGATAAGGACTCCTGACACTTCCTTGACTCACACATCCAGGATGGAGTTAGTATGGATTTCGCCTCCCACCTCCCCCAAGCATACACATAGAGATGTTCAAAATATGACTACAGTTTTAATAAACCAAGCTTGAGAGAAAAAGGAATTTCCAGGTTACAGGAAAGAAGAGGGAACCAAAAGCTAGTGATAAGCTCGGGGGCTTCTGCCATGGTGCTTTGCAGGTTTATAACCAGGACTAGAGTTTCATCACTCGCCAGGGGCAGGAGATGTGACTACAAAAGATCGGGGAACTAGAATTGAGAATCCCCTTGGGAAAACAAACACACACACACACACACACACACACACACACACTCACACTCACTCACTCACTCACTCACTCACTCAGTCTCACACTCACCCAGGACCTTGGAAAGATGTGAAAACAGGACCAAATACTCTCAGCCCAAGGAAGTGGCAAAGCTCATGTATGAAGTAGGCTTGAGGCTTTGCCTCTTTGCTTTCTTGTTGGAGACTCTCAATCCCACTATGCTCATGTCTGCGTTCTGAGCTTATACTCGACATGGGACAGGAATGTTGACGTAAACCCATAAATCCCTGTCGTTCCCGACACAAGCAGAGATAAGACCATTCTATAGGAAGACTTGCAACCTCAGGACAGAAGATGAGCTCATAGCCACATGAGGAAATAATGTACCACAAAAAATGTTCACAATGACTGGAGATTTTTTAAAAAGGAATCGAAACCATAATGAGAAAGGATACTATAAAAAAATGAGGATATGGAGAACTTAGAGCTTGAAGAAGTGAAAACGTGGTCATTGTAATAAACCAGATGAACAGTTAACCTGCAGATTAAACACAGCTAAAGGAAACAGTAAGCTTTGAAAACTGAGCAAATTACCCAGAAGACTCAAAATTGCAGAAGACCAAAAGCAAAATTATAAGAGCAACTAGAGAGAAAAGAAAGATTACTTACAAAGGTTAACAGAGGAGTTCTCGGGGACAACAGGAGGCAGAAGGGAATGGAATGCCTTCAGGCTGCTGGCGTAAAGTACTACCTGCAGATTTTACATGGGCACCAGCCAGACTGAAAGCTGCTTCCTGTACCAGGAGAAACAGCTATAGAGCCAGGCTATGGCTTTCACAGCAGTGCGGGCTGATTCCAAAGTCAGAACCCAGCTCCTTCTGGGTGTGGGACTATTATCGTAGAGCCCCATGTACCCTACTAAGCTGGGACCCTGCAGGGCTGCACTGCTGGAGTGCACACCAGCTGGAGAACCTCAGGTCACTGGAGTCTGGAAACAGCAGGGCAGAGAACGTGTTCTGAAAGGTTGAAACAAAAGGCTGGCCCTCATGCTATTGCAGCCAGCTTGAAAGACTAGAAGTAAATGAAAACCATGATCTCTGGACAGAGGCATTATCATCCTAGATCTTGAGAAATCCTCAGATTTTTCACGGGCTTTTAGCAGCGTGCAATAAGATAATCCAAATAAGAAAACAAGGCAGGAACCAATGGAAAGCTCCCTGATCATTCAGAGTGGTTTTTATATTTAAAGAAATAAGGCACTCTTATGTATCTGGAGAGAAGGAACTAAACAGGTGGTTAGGTTAATAGAATTTCTAAAAATGAAATATAATAACTAAAAGGTGGAAATCCAAGAATGTTTTTAGCAGCAGATAGGACATGCCAGAAGAGGACTGAAAGGAAGAATGATAGGAAAGAGAGGTACAAACAGGATTCAGTAGATCGGTCAGACTTCAAAGATGGTATTTGTCGAGAATTTTCCAGGATTGATGTGGCACTAGTCTACAGATTCAGGAAGCCCAAATTCCAAGATGGATAAATAAAAAAGAAATCTCGACATACCATATTGAAATTGCAAAAACAAAAGACAAACTCGAAAGCATCTGGAGGAAAAAGATGACCTTAAAAAGGAACAGGAGTGATACTGACAGTTGACTCTCAACAGTAACAGTGGAAATCAACAGGCGGTGGAATATATTCTGAAAGAAACCTTCAGCACTGTGTTCTGTCCCTGCTAAAAATATCCTGGAAGAATGAAAGCGTACATCCTTAGGTTCCATGGTGAAAATTCTAAAAGATGTACTTCAGGCAGAAGGAAAGTGATTCCACTTAGAAAGGTCTGAGATAAGAAGATAAACTGAGATAAACTTTAATTGTATGCATATATTTATTGTTAGAATTATGACCCTAATAGTAAGAGTATGTAACTTCCAAACTATCACAGAAAACCAGGATTAGACCTATGTAATTTAATCTGTTAGGGAAGATTAGTGGTTGCTGTGGATACCTTATATTGCTCAGGAAGAAGCTAGAAATCCGTCAGTATTAAACATTAGTTGGAATCAAGTATGCGAGAAAAATTTAAAGGTAGCTTACTATGAAGCCATGATAATTTAAACAGTGTGATATTGTCAGAGACATGCGGATCAAGGGAACAGAGGGCACTCAAGCAGGGCACACCTAGCTGGACACTGAGTAGAGAGGCAGCTTCCAAAAGAGTAGGGAAAGGGGGAGTTACGCAGTAAATGGAGTGGGCCCATGGTTTTCTATTTTGGGTGGGGAATAACCAGAGGGTTCAAGACCTGAATGAAAAAAGTACAAAACGAAAGCTTTACAGATTAAAATAAATTGTTTTACCTTAGGTGTTTAAAATAGAGAAAGCACAAATCATAAAAGATTAAAGAGCAATAGTAGACCACATTAAATTAAACATTTGAATAACAAGATTCCCAAATAAAAACCACGGACCAGAAAAAATGTTGATAATGCATAATAGTGTGCAGTCAACAACCCCGTGGATAACTGGGCAAAAGACATCAACAGGCAACTATCAGAAGAAACCTTTAATGTCCAGTGGCTTGATTTCAGGGAATTACAAATTCAAAAAGGTGACGGGGCAGGGTGACACTGCTGTAGACACAGGGATTACTCCCTCCCTCCCTCTCAATGCTATCAAAAGATGCTCTTTGGAAAAATTTCCCAGCAGTTGGGTGGCTTAAGGAAACTCCCATAGTCATGTGACTCCAGATACTTCTGGGGCTGGTTGAATAAAGTGGATGTCAGCCCTGACTGGCGGCATCCAAGTGACTGTGCTGTGGGGCTGTGGTGTGCTGTCGGGGCCAGGAGAGTTGGCAGGACTATAATAACCTCTCATCAGGCCCTCTAGACAAACAGAATTCAGGCAGTGGATACCACTGCTCTTAAATCATGAGCATTGGATTTGGTCACATGGAGGGCTAACAGCATGCTGGAAAAACAAGGTCATGCAAGTGTCATTATATTGAGCCTGACTGTTTGGAGAGACTTTGTAAACTTAAAAATTTACATAAAAGCATGTTGGAAATAATTTCATGTGGGTGTATCACAGACAGAGGCATCATTGCTCTGCATCACTTAAGAAAACTGAAGTGTTTGCTGTTAAGTGATCTTCCTGGACTAAGAGAAAAAGTAAACCTTGTCCAAGCCTTTGAGATAGAACCACCTTCTCTAGAACTAAAATTAGACTTGAAGTAAAATAGTAACATTCAGTAAGTGTCTTAATTCAAATGGAAGCATCTACAGGTGAACGGATAAAGATCTGGTACTCACCATAAAAAAGAGTGAGATCTTGCTGTTTGCAACAACATGGATGGGCCTAGAGAGTATTATGCCCAGTGAAATCATTCAGACAGAGACAAGTACCATATGGTTTCTCTTATATGTGGAATCTAAAAAAACAAATGAACAAACAACAACACAAAAACAGACTCATCGGTACAGAGAACAAACTGGTCGTGGCCAGAGGGGTGGGGGTGGGAAACGGGAGAAATAGGTGAAGGGGATTAGGAGGAACAAACTTCTGGTTATAAAGTAAGTAAATCATGGATATGGGGGGGGGGGAAGTGTCCTATTTCAATATAAAGTATCATTTGAAATTTTTTTTTTTTTAAGATTTTATTTATTTGTTTGACAGAGAGAGACACAGCGAGAGAGGGAACACAAGCAGGGGGAGTGGGAGAGGGAGAAGCAGGCTTCCTGCTGAGCAGGGAGCCCGATGCGGGGCTCGATCCCAGGACCCTGGGGTCATGACCTGAGCCGAAGGCAGCCGTTTAACGACTGAGCCACCCAGGCGCCCCTCATTTGAAATTATTTAGATATATTTATCATCAATAGAACTAAAAGGTGGTCATATCACAACATTTTAAAAGCAAAGAGTCCCTCATGTAGAAAGTAAATATTCAGACATGACATCCTAAAATTGAGTTGGAAGTGAGAATTATGTACATTTTAAGAAAAATGCAAACCCAGATAACCTTTTAATTCTAATATATTCCTCATTTTATGTAGATATCTCTTGATGTAGATAGGGTTCTTTAAAGTGATTTAAATGTATAACACATATATGTATAACACAGATAATCTTTTTTTAAAGATTTTAGTTGAGAGAGAGAACACAAGCGGGGGTGGGGTCGCAGAGAGGAGGAGAGGGAGAAGCAGACTCCCCACTGAGCAGGGAGCCTGGCTCTGGGTTCAATCCCAGAATCCCGGAGTCATGACCTGAGCTGAAGGCAGACATTTAACCAACTGAGCCACCAGGCGCCCTACATTTTACTTTAAAGTTAATAAAGCATGTTGCTATAAATGTACAGATTTGGGGGGAAAAAAGGCTGACAAAAATCAAGCTTTGGCTGGAATATAGGGAGTAGAATATTGGCAAGTTGATGGTGGGAGTGTATCAGTGCAGCCCTTTTCAGTAGAGAGTACCATTTTGCTCTCCATTGTTGAGCATGCACAATTCTCTGTCTAGGAAGAGAGCCTAGAGAAACTTAGCTCTGGGCATAGGAAGAGAAGTGTAGGAAGAATGCTCCTTGCTGCTGAGATGACCAGGGAATAGAGTGTGTATATTAAGGTAGTGGAATGCTATATAGCCGTTAACCTTTGGAAAAGAAAAAAAGCAAGTTGCAAAAAGATGTACAGGATCATACTATTTATGTAGACCGTTAACTCTTCAGGACCCATTTACATCTGAGGAGGAAGGAAAGGGAATGCTGTGAGGAAGAGTTAACTCTGTTTCTTTAAAAAAAAAAAAAACTGACATTACTGTGGCAGTGTTAATATTTGTCACATTAGAGTATGGGTAAATAGATATATGGGTGTGCTATAAAATATTAAAAATTTTAAAAGATCACAGTCGTAGGACTTTACGTTTCTAGGTGTGAAGATAAATTAATTTTTTTAAAGTTGCAAAGAACAGCTGCACAGTTTTTCAACTTCGCTTCTTAATGCCTTACTTTGCCTTCTGTGTATCTGACTTCCAAGTACCCGTTTGGTTCCATCAGGAGTCATAGAGTTTAGGGGCGCCTGGGTGGCTCAGCTGTTAAGCATCTGCCTTTGGCTCAGGTCATGATCCCAGAGTCCTGGGATCGAGCCCCGCATCGAGCTCCCTGCTCAGCAGGAAGCCTGCTTCTCCCTCTCCCACTTCCCCTGCTTGTGTTCCCTCTCTCGCTGTGTCTCTCTCTGTCAAATAAATAAAATCTTTTAAAAAAAAAAAAAGAGTCGTAGAGTTCTTACATAATTCTCCTCTTGGGATTCTGTCCTAAACAAGCAATCGGAAATACAGAAGAGGCTCTGTAAGGTAACATTCATTCCTGAGGTCCTTAAAATTGTGGAAATTTGACAGCAGTATGTTTTTAAAAAACAAGAGTGAAATTGTTCACTGAGTTTGTTGGGCAGCAGTAAAGGTGGGAGCTCCTGTCAGAGAGTGCTGTGATGTGTCACTTGGGCAGAGAGGAGTGATGGGGAGGGTGCGGCGTGATGCGTGGTGTGAGATTTCAGCTACGTAAAACCCCACAGCCTGGATGCCTAGAATAAAAAATGAGCTAATGAAGATGCTCTCCATGTGGGAGGGTGCCAAGTGTTCCAGGGGGTTTTTTAGCTTTGGCTTTACTTACCCAAATGTTTACATAGTAACAGTGTTACTTCTCTAATGGAAAAAAAAAATTTTTTTTTTTAATTTGTCCAAGCCTAGATTTAAGTTCTGGTTTTTTCCTACTTTCTCTTTATAGAAATAATTGTCTGTTTCTACTTTCCTTATTGTATGACCAGGCTCTTGCGTCCCCCTCCATCGATCAGTCTCCCTGTTACGAGAAAGGGTTCATTTTTTTACTCAGAGACACATATTCACTGTAGGGCATTGGGAAACCAGAAAAGCACAAGAGCAGACGTCACCAGCAGTCCTTCTACTGGTTATCCACTGACACCGGAGATCGAATTTTGTCTGCATGTGTGTGCTTTGTTTGTTGTAGTGGGGGTTGCATTTAATTCCCCATCCTGATGAGAGGCAAGGAGAATAATTGCCTTTGAGTGTGTCTTCACCCTTATATCGAAGTCATCGTCACTTCCTTCTGGTTCTGTTTGAGTGGCTGCTTCTTTTACCAGTGGCCTGAGCACTCCTGTGCCACACACAGACATTCATGACAGCCTCCTGCCTCTACTCTACAGTCAGGCTCACCTCCCATGGCTGCTAGGGCATGTCCTATTTTAGAAAGATTCTTCCCAGAGTGAAGTGCGTGTAGATAGTGTATGTAGTGGTTGGGGTTTCCTGGGGATGGAGTGGGCTGCCAAGGTTGGGCTCTCTGCTCTCACAGTCGTGGCCAGGAGTCCTGTCAGCCATGTTTTCATGTACTGGTTATGGAGGGTCATGCGCATTGGAAGAAAAGGCTGAGGCGGGTTTCTCAGAACTGTCTTCCTCGTAGGAGTAACACTTAGGCTCTTGGGGACTGTTCATTGACAGAAAGCTGAAGTGCGCACTTTTGCTCAGCCCTGACATTGGTAACCACAGTAGCCCCCTTCCAGCATGCTGTTGGCCTGTGCTATTCTTGGCCAATCTGTGGGCCAGAGTTTAGAGTTGTGTAGTCATACTGCTTTATTGGACCTTCTTTAGGGGGTCCTACTGCCGCTGTGTCCAGCCCTCCAGTCAATATTAAGTTCTGGCTCTGCTCCTGTTTGCTGCAGTGTCATTTGAGCCAGTCCCCAAGAATAAATCAACTGTCTGGATTTGCACAGTAGGTTTTAGGACTCCTTTCAGAGAATATTTTGGGAGGTGTTAGGGGATTTAATAGAACGTCATGAGCTTTGATTACGTTGGTAGTGTTAAAGAAATGTGAATCCCATATTACTGCCCTGTCCTGTGTTATTTCTCTTGTGCCTGTTTATTCTAATCAAACATCATAACCTCATCTTATAGGGTGCTCTTCCTACCTTAATTGGGAGCTCAATCTGTGTATAGCCTAGGGACACTTGACGGGTTCCCCAAGTGTTCTGGATCACTTGGAGGGAGGCAGGACTGACCGCCTGAGAAGGCCTTCACAAAGGAGCTCAACCATCCTTCTGCAAAATTTGGTTCTGGAGATAAAACTATAGTGACCCAACCCACACTCGCATTTTGGTTCAAACCGTGGGCCTTTGGGGTAGTTGGCTGGTGATTTGGACATAAAGTTGCCATTTATTTGGGTTATAAAGGTTGGTCCAAGTTCTTATGTTGTTCTGAAGTTAAGTGGGTTCCCTGCAAACAGTGAATCCAACAGTTAAAGGCCCATGTCAGCTAGAAGTAATGGTATGCTGCTTCTGACCCCCACTGTCTTAAACCAGATGACTTGCCGGGGGGTGTGGAACCATTCCTCAGAACACTCACCATCTCTCAGGCTGACCAGAGTGGCCTTGTTAGGGATCTAGGGCAGTAAGGAAATCCACCCCTGCTCTCAACCTAGCATGGCAATGAACGACAGGAAGTTCTTTGAGCTAGTCAGTAGTACCTGGTGTTCTTTTGATTAAAAGCTGGCTTTCCCCTCTATTCTAAAGTATGTCCTTGTTGTCTTTCCCTTCATATCTCTCTCTCTCAGGGGTTTTTGTTTGCTTTTTCTTTTTTAATTGAGTCGTAATATAAATAAAACATTCTGATTTTTTTAGGTAAACTTTATATACAACACAATATGTAGATTTAAGTGTACAATTCAGTGTGTAATTAACGTCCCTGTATTTCCATCACCCCCAGAAAGTTCCCAGGGTACATAAATCTTAAGTTTATATCATGAATTTTACATAAATATCTATTCATGGAACCACCGCCCAGATCAAGATGAAAATATTTTCTAGCAGATTTCAGACTCGGTGTCTGCCCTCCGCATAACATGCAATCACATATACTCTCTGTCAGGGCTGTGTGGGATACTCTGGTGCTGCACTGCTTCCTGAATTCTGAAATCTGAAGTTGCTTCTCTCTCAGTGGCTCCATAGTGCAGCTCGTTTCCTCTGGCGTCCCCCACTCCTAGTGCTGTGCCCCCTAAGGAATAATGTTTTGTCTCTCGCAGATCTGGGACACAGCAGGCCAGGAACGGTTCCAGTCACTTGGTGTGGCCTTCTACAGAGGTGCAGACTGCTGCGTTCTGGTATTTGACGTTACTGCCCCCAACACATTCAAAACCCTTGATAGCTGGAGAGATGAGTTTCTCATCCAGGCCAGTCCCCGGGATCCTGAAAACTTCCCCTTCGTTGTGTTGGGAAACAAGATTGACCTCGAAAACAGACAAGTAAGTGCTAAAGATAGTGGGAATCCTAAATGTGGAGGCTTATGAATCTGCCCTCATTTAGGTCATGGCTCCTGGGCCTTTTAAAAGTGGCAGCTAAATTTCAGATGACAGGTACTGGTTTTAGTGGGTGTTTTTTAAGATTTTATTTATTTGACAGAGAGAGAGACAGTGAGAGAGGGAACACAAGCAGGGGGAATGGGAGAGGGAGAAGCAGGCTCTCCGCCAAGCAGGGATCCCGATGCAGGCAGGGCTGGATCCCAGGACCCTGGGATCATGACCTGAGCCCAAGGCAGGCGCTCAACGACTGAGCCACCCAGGTGCCCCTGTTTTTGGTTTTGATTGGTAAAAAGCCATGTGCCTTAAGGACCAGTCCCCAGTAGATCTCTGTGTATGTGCGCCCCCACAGTGGGGTAAAGGGGAGGCATAACTAACTAGTTAGCTGCCCAGTCCTTGGAATCGGGCCTTGCTTCCTAATCCAGTAAAGGCATACCATTTTTGCTTCCCCTGTGGCAAAACAGGGACAGTGAAAGTCTGCAGTGGTATTACCTTTGAAATTATGCCAAGAGAATAGCAAGTCCATTTTGTGGAGTTACCTATACTGGCCATCATTTTGGTCCCTATGAAATAATTTGACTTGAGGCCCGTTGCAGTCTGCATTTTGGTCTTTTGGATTTAAAGGCAGACTAGTGTTTAAAGCCTGGCTCATGCACTTTTAATTTGGGAGTATTTCTTGGAGTATGAATCTTGACTTATATAACAAGAATACTCTGGGATCAGATGACAGTGTACCCAAAAGCCCTGGCACCCAGGAGAAGCTTGGGAAATGGTGGCTTTCTACTTGGCCCGTTACTGTTTTCCTCTCCTATGAGAGACACTGGCTTCTAAGGTGACTTGTGGTTTGGTGGGTTCTATGCAAAGCCCAGAATGGCTCCAGAAAGGTACCTGTGGGAACGTGAACTACCTTCCGGTTAGCACCCTTTGAGGACCAGGGCCCACGAGACCTGGTTTAAATCCCCATGCTGTCTCCAGCCGGCTCTCACTTTGGGCCATTGTCTTTGCCCTCTGAGCCTCAGTTCTCCTTCTGTACTCGAGAGGAGAGAATTAGATTTTGTCATTCTCGAGTGCTCCTGTACCTCAGGGGCCTGCCTGGATCTCCATGCGTGCAGAAGATTGCACTTTGGGCTTTTGAATAAAATTGCTCTGGTTTACTTTGAAATAGCATTTCTCTTGGGAGCATAGACTCTTAATTATAGCTTGGTTTATTTCTGGCCATTGATCTCTTTTTCTCCCTTTCTTAGGTGACAGTCCTCTCATGCCTGGAAGTGGGCTAGGGGTGGGGAAGGAATTAGGGTAGGAGAGGCAGGGGTGTCGGTGAGAGCTGCAGAATTCGGTGGTACAGGTGATGTAACACTAGCAGTAATAGGGCTGGGACTGCAAACCTTTAGACGGAGCTGCCAGGCATTTCCTGGGCTGGGACCTCTGAGGTCCCAAGAGAAACAATTCCGTACTTCCCGGGCTAGCTGCTTACTCTTTCATTGTCTGCCTGTAAGTGTAGCTAAGGGTCAGAAACTATGGATTGTAGAATGCGCTTGGGTTTGAGGCCTAGCTGTATTACACAGAGCTGGCAGCGTGACCTCGGACAGGTGTGCAGCCCCCTTCCTCAAACCCGTGCACACCCTCACCCTCTGGTCTGCTCCCTCACCTGTGCTAGCTGCCTCTGTTAGGAGCACACGTACACCCTTCTTCCTCTTCCAGGTGGCCACAAAGCGGGCACAGGCCTGGTGCTACAGCAAAAACAACATTCCCTACTTCGAGACCAGTGCCAAGGAGGCCATCAATGTGGAGCAGGCGTTCCAGACAATTGCACGGAATGCACTTAAACAGGTGGGTCTCTTGCAGCTGTCTGGCTCCCTCTGGTGGCTGACCGTCGACCTAGCCCGTGCCTGGCTTTCTTGTCCTTAATCTTTCTTAGCTCTTTTTTCTGTGTAGCCAGAACCCATGTGTTTATCTGGGAAGGCCATGAGGCATCCTGCTAAAGCTTCCAGAAATTCCACTTGTTTGTGAATAACCTATACAATGCAAGGGCAGTGAAGACAGGCTGAGGCCACCCTTACTTGGGTATGTTCTTACTCTCTCTGCACGCTGTTAGGAGATGAGACCACTAAGAGGCCCTTGGTCAGATGGCTCCTTCTACTGAAGGAGGGGATAAACTTGAATTCAAATCCCAGGTCTGCTACCCATCATTAGACCTAGTTTTTTTTTGTTGTTGTTTGTTTGTTTTTAAATCATTTCTGAGCTTCCATACCCTCCTCTGTCAAATAATACTTGATTTGGAGGGTGGTTGTGAGGATGGAATGAGATGGGCTCACTCTTGGCGTTCTCATAACTGGTTATATTTGATCACCAGATCACCAGAAGGAAAGCTTAACCAGAAGTTCTGGGAATTGTATTCCTTGAGTGAGGTGTTCTTTCTGATTTATGTTGTTAACTCAACTGTTCCCAGAAAAAGAGACCGTTACTTCTTCTTGGCATGAGGGAGTTGAAGGCTCTTTTGATTCAGCAGCTCTTTGGGGGCCAGTGAGTTAGGACAGATCGTGAAGCACCATCAGTCACCTGTGATGGTCAGACTTGGGGAGCAGGTAAGTGTCAGGTGAGGTGCACACCAGAATATGTGGAGAACATTTTGAGGAAGCACGTGGTGGCTGTAAAGGGCAAGCAGGTTCTGCCAGCTCCAGGAAACTGGGTTTATAGAAGGTACCAGTTCTCAGCAGGACAGGGCATCTGGACCTGTGGGTAGGGCAGTGACTGGAATGGGTTGTTCCAAGGGCTGGAGGCTGCACTGAGTGTTCCGTGATGAAAGAAATCAATCCACCCAAAATGCTAGGAGAGCCCCCACTGAGCAACACTGATAAACAGGCTGCAGGCCCCAGGCCTTTGCCTTCCCTGGTCCCCCTTCCTTTAACCCACCTTCACACCTAGGTCAGTAACCGAAGATGCTTTTCCTCGTGTTCCTACACTTGCATGCAAATCTAAACAGGTCTGGGGAGTTGTTTCCACCAGCTCCCTGCTAACTGGCATCACCAACAATTTTTCTCTCTGAATATTGCTGTCCCTGTAGCCTTATTAGAATGTTTTTTTGTTCCTACACGCTAGCCACTCAGGAGTAAGATAGTTAGATTGGAAGGTACCTGTGCTTTCAAAAGATGGTGCCAGATCACTTTCCTCAAAGGCAGTCGTACTTCAGTCCTTTTCTTCCTGCTCAGCAGCAAATGGCTAGCACCGCATGGGGCCCTGCTGCCGTGCCGCCAGTCGTCAGGCCCCCCCTGCTGCACACCGCCAGCACGCGGCACTGGCCTGGGCGCCCACCACTTCCCATGAGCCTTCTGTGAACCGGAATTAACTTGACCAGTATGGCAAGCGACTTTTCCAACGCTGCTATCTTTCTGGGGCATCAAAAAAAGTAATTTTTGTTAGGTGTGTCATTTTAAATGTCTAGGTTTCCTGTGTCTGGATTATTTGTTGTCTAATTCAATTGAAATTTATTTTGGCTTATGGCAGGAAAAAGGGACTCACCTTTTTTCTTTTAGAGGGATAGCCAGTTGTTTCAATTATTAGCAGCAAATTGTTAAATAAACCACTTTCCCCAGTGGACTGAAGCATTACCTTTGTGTATTTAATGTTCATGTATATTGGGATCTATTTTTGGTCTTCCAAAATTGGGTCTTCCCAGTCTATTTGGCAGCGTGCATGTTACTTGCCTGGACCATCTTGATTTGACTGCCTTTATATTGTAGTCTGACCTCTGCTGACAAGTGACTAGTGACTGACAAAAAGACTTTTTTGTGGGTTTTGGGGGGGGTTGGGTTTTTTTTATTTGTTTGTTTTGTTTTGTTTTTTGCTGTTTGGTGCATTTTCCATTTAGACTGAGAATTTTATTCCAGTTCCACCTTTTGACTTCCTCACCCTTCCCAAATACAAAACCTTATTGAGATTCTAATTGGGATTGCGTGTTAGAGCTCTCACTAGTGTGCTTTGGGTACCATTACAAAATATTGCAGACTGGGTGACAAAATAGCAGGCTTTTATCATCTCTTGGTCGTGGAGGCCAGAGGTTTATAATCAAGGCACCAGCACACCTCCCCCATCGGCAGAGTGCTAACTGCCGTCTTTCTCCTGTCCTCGGGTGCATGGCTTTTCCTCTGTACTCACAGCAAGCGCACGCAAGTGGGAACCCCCACTGTCTGGTGTCTTTTCTTACAAGGACACACTGATCCTATCCGATCAGGGCCCCACCTTTTATGACCTCATTTCACCTTCATTACTTTCTTCATCCTAATACTAGCACATTGGGGATTAGGATTTCGATGTAGAAATTTTGGAGAGACACAGACATTCAGTCCATAACAGCTATTATTTTAGGTTTTGTGTGCTATCCTTCAGTGACACTGTATCACTTTTCACATCCTTTGCCTTCCATATTAAATATATTCCTCGGTGCTGGTGGGAATGTAAAATGGTGCACCCACTTTGGAAAGCAGTCTGGCAGTTACTCAGAAAGTTAAACATGAAGCGTCACTATATGACCCAGCAATTCCACTCTTAGGTGTTAGCCAGGAGAAACAAAAACCTGTCCACAAAAATCTTGTACATGAATATTCATAATAGCATTACTCATAATGGCCAAAAAGCAGAAATAAAAACAAATGTCCCATCAAATGAAATATCCAAAATAGGCAAATCTGTAAAGACAGAAAGTAGATGTCAGTGGTTGCCAAGGCTTGGGGGTGGTGTCTGGTGGGGCTGGGGAATGACTGCTAATGGGTGCAGGGTTTCTATGGGGTGAAGAAAATTTGTGGAATTAGTGGTGATGGTTGCCCAACTTTGTGAATACACTAAAAACCACTGAATTGTACATTCTGTGGTATATCTCAGTAAAGCTTTTTTTTTTAATGTGTATTCCTAGAGGTTTTTATTTTTATAGAACACTGCCTGTCACATAGGTGCCCAGTGTTGAAGTGACAAACTGTTTTCCTGTACCAGGAAATGGAAAGCTGCTCCTCACTAGACACATGTTACTTCAGCAAAAAGTCACACTGAACGGACCATGGTCCATCTCCTATGACCTCTCACCACAGTTGGTGATAAAATTCATCCATAGCTGGTTTCTAAGTATGCAGCATTTAGAGGCAAAACCCTCCTAAATCTTTGGAGAAAAAAAAAAAACGGACCATCAGTCCAGAAAAATGAATGGCAAATAGGGAACTAGAGTAATGTTCTGGGACTGAGAGGGCAGGGAGCACTCATGCTCCAGCCCACACTTGCCTTGTGGAAGTGGTGCTAAGAGCTGCCAAAATCCAGCCCATGTTGAAGTCTGACTTCCAAAGTATTGGCGATGAGATGATACGGAGCACGCAGAAAGCATTTGTGAGCTGGCTGTGGTCCCCGAGCCACCAGATCTCCATCATGATGATGGAGAGCATGAGTCAGCTGTGTCCTGACTGCTCAGTATCGATTGCAGCTCTTCCTGCTTGGTTTCTCTCTTCACATTGTCCCAGGGTTGTCACAAAACCTGTCGGCCCCTTGCTCAGCCCTTGAGAGTTGAGCACCTTCTGCCAGAGCCCTCCCTTCCCTGCCGCGTCTGTACCCCAGCCTCCTGCCCACCGAGAGCCGTGGCGGAGCACCGCTGAGGCTACTGCTGAGCTCGGAAGTTCCCCATACCCTGAGTAACAGACCTTTCTCTCTCCCTGCCCAGGAAACAGAGGTGGAGCTGTACAATGAATTCCCCGAACCCATCAAACTGGACAAGAACGACCGGGCCAAGGCCTCGGCGGAAAGCTGCAGTTGCTGAAGGGGCAGTGAGAGCAGAGCACAGAGTCCTTCACAAACAAAGAACACACTTAGGCCTTCCAACACAAGCCCCTCTCCTCTTCCAAACAAAACATAAAGTCATCTCTCGAATCCAGCTGCCAAAAGAAACCCCCATCAACACACTCACCCTAAAACACACACACACCCCTGATACAAGCAGACTCCAGACACACACACACACACACACACACACACACACACACACACACACACACCCCGATACAAGCAGACAGACTCCAGACACACACACACACACACACACACACACACACACACACCCCTGATACAAGCAGACAGACTCCAGACACACACACACACACACACACACCCCTGATACAAGCAGACTCCAGACACACACACACACCCACACACCCACCCACCCACCCACCCCTGATACAAGCAGACAGACTCCAGCCCATCATCAGCCTGTGATGACTGCATCGGGGTCTACCCACCCACCACATCAGCCCTTGTACGACAGCACGACAGGCAAGCTGTAGAAATCGTTCTGGTGTGGAGTCAGCATCAGAAGCTTATTCTTTTTGTCCACTGGGGAGAGAGAACTGTTTACAGTTTATCTGTGTCTAATTAGTTACCTGATTTTTTTAACGGTCTTGTGGTCTTTTTACCCCCTACCCCCACCCCTCCCTCCTGTGAAGGCTACCACTTGGGAAGGCTGGTGCCCCATGCTTCGTTACAGGCTCACACCCAGTCTGATCAGGCTGAGTTTTGTATGTATCTGTTAATGCTTGTTACTTTTAACTAATCAGATCTTTTTACAGTATCCATTTATTATGTAATGCTTCTTAGAAAAGAATCTTATAGTACATGTTAATATATGCAACCAATTAAAAATGTATAAATTAGTGTAAGAAATTCTTGGATTATGTGTTTAAGTCCTGTAATGCAGGCGTGTAAGATGGAGGGTTGAACCCTGTCTGGATTGCAGAGTGTTAGCAACTCAGAATTCAGAAATCCAGCTAGAGGCAGTATTCTGTACAGTAGACACAAGAATTATGTACGCCTTTTATCAAAGACTTAAGAGCCAAAAAGCTTTTCATCTCTCCAGGGGGAAAACTGTCTAGTTCCCTTCTGTGTCTAAATTTTCCAAAAGGTTGATTTGCATAATACAGTGGCGTGTGCAATGGATAAATGGCCGTTGTTTCAGAAATTAAAATTCTCATTCCCCCCCTGCCCCGCTCCACACTTCAAAACTCCCCTATTAGGTCAGCATCCTACTGATAAGAGGAAAAGGAAAATCCTAACAGATCTGTCCTAGTGATTTTACCTTTGTTCTAGAAGGCACTCCTTTCAGGGTTGTGGTATCCTTAGGTTAGCAAACCTTTTTCTCCTTTTCCCCACCAACTCCCAGTATTGCCCACTATTCATTAACCTGTTTCTTTGGTATGGAACCCTGGCAGTTCTGCCCCCTCCCTAGGATCTGCCCCTGCATTGTAGCTTGCTTAACGGAGCACTTCCTCTTTTTCCAAAGGTCTACATTCTAGGGTGTGGGCCAAGTTCTTCTGTAAAGAGATGAACGTGATGCCAATAAAATGTAACAAGAACAAAGATCATCTGCCTTTGCCCTGTCTTTTTTCCTTCTTCTAGACCCTTGGCTCAGTAGAGACCATGTTAGCTAATCATATCCGATGCTTTATCAAGCCAAAGAGCCCTTCATAACTGGGCACATGTGGTGCCTTTGAGGCAGAAAAGCCTTGTCACGTCCAGCCCTACAGTGCCTGTCCCTAGTTTTTGGTTTTGGTTTTTTTAATCAGTGATGGGGTGTGGGGCCTCTGAATGGAGAAAACATTGTCCCTGTAGAGGAGCAACTACAGACTGTTTGTGCCTGTAGACCAGGCATAGCCTATCGGGTATGAGCTAATTAGCCTTTGTGCTCTTTTGTTCTGTTTTGTAGTTGGCGTAGTTGCTAATACTTAGATATCATATTTCTGGATTTCTGATTTTTCACAGGAGAAGAAGATGTGGCAGCAGGGGGCCCTTTTTCCAATATTATAGGTCACCAGCTGGAACTGAATATATGCCACCTAGAACCAAATTTATAGAACAGTAGTGTTTCAATCAGAGGGTTGGTGTAGGTTTTGCTTCTAGAAATGCCCCCATTGACTAAGCTCTTGGATTCTACTTCGCTGCACTTTTCTACATTTCCACTTCTCAGGTTCCTCAATTGGTTCCTTTCCCTGCGCCTGCTCTTGGCTCAGTTTGTTTGTTACAAATAGCATTTTCAGAAGCTCACAACTGGGGCACCTGGGGGCTCAGTGGGTTAAATGTCCAGCTTTTGGTTTTGGCTCAGGTCACAGTCTCATGGGTCCGTGAGATCGAGCCCCGCATCAGGCTGTACGCTCAGCAGGAGTCAGCTTGGATATTCCCTCCCTCTGCCCCTTCCCCCACTCGCTCTCTCAAATAAATAAATAAATCTTCAAAAAAAAAAAAAATAGAAGCTCACAATTACAGTTCCACTATGGCTAGTGCCTCATGGCCTAGATCTTCTCTAGTGTACGGATCTGTGTGATGCTCACTTCTACAAACCAGCCTCCTCTTCCTCAATCATATTCTCTGGTCCTAACCTTAAATGTGACATGGAAGTGGACCTTGACCTCTGATCACAACCATCAGTCTAAAACTGATAACCATCCTGACGTTGACCTCTTTCATTTTGAGATGACCACTTACAGTAAGAGGTAATGGCTGAGAGGCGCCTGGGTGGTGCAGTCGGTTGAGTGTCCAACTCTTGGTTTTGGCTCAGGTCATGATCTCTGGTTCCTGGGACTGAGCCCTGCTTTGGGCTCTGTGCTCAATAGGAGGCCTGCTTCTCCCTCTCCCTCTGCTGCTCCCCCCGCCCCCCGCTTGTGCGCTCTTACTCTTGCTCTCTTCCAAATAAATAAATCTTTAAAAAAAAGTGAATTGAGACCAACGTGTGTTGCTGTGTTTCCATTCATCGCAGTTTGCTCAAACAAGAATTTTGAGAAGAATGGAAATGGATTTGTTGCACTAATATAAATTTGTTTAAATAGTATGCCTTAGGGAAGCCTGAGTGGCTCAGTCAGTTAAGCAACTGCCTTCAGCTCAGGTCATGATCCCGGGGTCCTGGGATCAAGTCCCACATCGGGCTCCCTGCTTGGTGGGGAGCCTGCTTCTCCCTCTGCCTGCCGCTCCCCCTGCTTGTGCTCTTTCTGACAAATAAAATCTTTTAAATAAATAAATAGTATGCCTTAGTTTGATCCAAATTCACTATCTCACAGTATGAATGTGTATTGCAGTGCCTACTTGCAGTTTACTCCAACAATCTATAAGGAGTCTGGGACTGTTTGTTGCATTAATAGGAATTCTTTTTTCATTTGAGAGAAAGAACACAAGCAGGGGGAGAAGCAGAGGGAGAGGAAGAAGCAGACTCCCTGCTGAGCTGAGAGCTGGACGTGGGGCTCTATCACAGGGCTCTGAGATCATGACCTAAGCTAAAGGCAAACACTTAACCGACTGAGCCACCCAGGCAGGTGCCCCTGATTTTATTTTTTATTTATTTGACAGAGCATGTGAGCACACAAGCGGGGGAGTGGCAGGCAGAGGGAGAGGGAGAAGCGGGCTCCCCACAGAGCAGGGAGCCTGATGAAGGGCTCGATCCCGAGACCTGGAGATCATGACCTGAGCCACCCTGGTGCCTTACACTAACAGGAATTCTTATCCAAACTCCTAATCATATCGATCCTAATTCCTCCCATTTGTTAAGAATATGCCTTTGAGATGAATGTATATGTTGCATTGCTTATGTTCACGTTAGTTAATTCTAGCCAGCAATTAAGGTTTTGCTTTAGGAAGAATGTCTGAGACTGAGCTCGTTTGAACTAAATGATGCTTTTCAATAGCACTAATTAGATTCATGCTAATGCACTCTGCCTCAGAGAAATAATGTCCCAGAGAGATGAACGTATGGAGTACACTTCTTGTCCATCTTGGTTTATGCTAACATGCAGTTAGGAGTTTTGTAAATCAAATAATTGAGACTGAGCATGCTTACATTAATTAGACTCCTCTTAATTTACTCAAACTCTCAGAGCTGGCTGTTGAGGTGAATGTATTTTGCTGAGTTTTGTTCATCTTGTTTCACTAATCCTGACCCAAGCCTTGATGCTAAGCCAGACACACTCCAAAGACCTGTGATTTTTGCTCCCAGCCTGACCTTGCACATGAACATGACCTTGATATTGAACCTCTTAACCTTCATTGTGACCTTAACAGTCTTCCTGTACCTCACATTGACCTTGACCCTTCCTTGCTTTGAAAAGACCTTGAAACTCATTCTGACCATGTCTCATCCTAATTGTAATTTGACCTTGTACTTTTCCTCAAACTGGATCCTTATTTTATTTTAAAAGATTTTATTTGAGGGGCGCCTGGGTGGCTCAGTCGGTTAAGTGTCTGCCTTTGGCTCAGGTCATGATCCCAGGGTCCTGGGATTGAGCCCTGCATCGGGCTCCGTGCTCAGCAGGAAGCCTGCTTCTCCCTCTCCCACTCACCTGGCTTGTGTTCTCTTTCGCTGTGTCTGTCTCTCTCAAATAAAATCTAAAAAAATATATATTTTTTTTTAAAGATTTTATTTATTTATTCGACAGATAAATAGCACAAGCAGGCAGAGTGGCAGGCCTGAGAGAGAGAGCACAAGCAGGGGGAGCGGCAGAGGGAAAGGGGGAAGCAGGCTTCCCACTGAGAAGGGAGCTGAACGCGGGACCCTGAGATCATGAGCTGAGCCAAAGGCAGACACTTACCCAACTGAGGCAACCCAGGTGCTCCTAAACTGGATCTTCTCCATGAACCCAGCCTTGACCGACCCACCCTGCCTATGAAATAATCTTGGACTTGGGGCGCCTGAGTGGCTCAGTCGTTAAGCGTCTGCCTTCAGCTCAGGTCATGATCCCAGGGTCCTGGGATCGAGCCCCGCATCGGGCTCCCTGCTCAGCGGGAAGCCTGGTTCTCCCTCTCCCACTCCCCGTGCTTGTGTTCTCTCTCTCGCCATCTCTCTCTCTGTCAAATAAATAAAATCTTTAAAAAAAGAAAGAAAAAAAATAATCTTGGACTTGACTTTATCCTTGAAACTGCCCTTGATCCTAACCCTGATCCAGTCTC